TCCTCGTTGGGATTAGGTTGCTGCGAACGAAGAAAGGCGGGAAGACGAGCAGGACAAGGCGGCCGGCGCGCGGCAAGGCGATGGAGCAGGCGGCCGGGATATATGTCGGTGGGTCACTGAATTGAGGGGAAGAGGACGTACGGGAGAGTGGTGCACATCGGACTAAGGGCCCGCTTGGATTGTCGTTTTCAGGGCAAATACACCGGTAAAATATACCTCCGTATGGAAAATTCAGACCGGCTACGCATGGCTGCTTGGTTGATCGTTTTTGGTCCGTAATATTTACACAGGTTCGTTCGATTACACCTGTAATTAACCGGTATTTGGTACAGACCTCGGCCCGTCGTTTCTCCCAGCATCTTCGTAATCCTCTCCTCTTTTGAGCCTAGGCGAGGTCGACGGCTTCGCCGCGACGCCGCCGCAACCACCACGGACCGGCAGGCTCTGGCGCCAGCGTCCATGATGGAGTGCCGGCGGCGATGATTGATTCTGGCGCCGGCGAGGCGCCGGCGACGTTGACCGCGACGGCGGCTAGGTGATGACGGGGTTGTTCATGCGCGTCGCTATAGGATCCGCACCACGCGTCAGATCTCCTTGTTGATGCCGATGACCTAGTCCAGCTCGCCCGCCACCGCGCGACTTCTCCGCCGGCTGCGCACGGCCGACGGCCTTGACCAGAGAGGTGGAGATCGGGATGGTGTCGGGCAGCAGGAACTGCAAGGGCAGCCTCTTGAGCGGGGGGAGGGGGTGGACGGGAGCGGCGGCGACGGCGGCAGCTTCCTGATCCATTCATCCCCCACGACAGCCAATGAGGAAGAAGACGCGTGATTATGGACGTGGGAACCGTGAAGGGGAAGGACAGAATTTACAAGCGGAAATTGTATCCGGCTGTAAATTACTGGAGACCAGTATTATGCGGTTGTAACTTGTTCCGACTGTAAGATTTTTTCGGGGCTTCCAAGCGGGGCCTAAGTGTTTTGTTGGAGGAAACAGGAGGGGGTTTCGCAAAATGTACGTGGTGACATGTTTTTTCGGGTGAAGGGAATATTAGCTGTAATAAGCACATTTCCATAGGTTTCTTAATGGTAGAATCAGCAAGATGTAGGTTCAGAGAACATTCAGACATGGAATCAAAACCAAGAACATCATATAAATCTTTAGGAATGGTGGAAACACTAGCACCTAAATCACAAAGTGCATTGCAATCATAATTATTAATCTTAATCTTTATAGTAGGTTCCCAACCATCATCTAATTTTCTAGGAATGGCTACTTCTAATTCCAATCTTTCTTCATTAGCCTTCACAAGTGCTTCTACATTGTGTTTAGTAAAGGCTTTTTTATGATCATAAGCATTGGGTGAATTCATCATGGATTGTAAAAAAGTAATACCACTCGCACCCGATGTACTTAGAGGGGCAGGTATTGTTCCCTCTCATAAGGTGCCCCTACTGTAACATTGGTGACATCTGGTAATGGGTCTCGCAGACAGTTAAGAACCTCGATAAGCATTTCTACAAGTGCGAGCATAAGTGGGTGAGTTATCTGTGATCTCCTCTTCCTTAAGTCATTCTATAATTTTGTTTATAACACATATCATTTTCTTGTTCATCCTCATACTAGACTAGGAAATATATCTTCTGGAAATGGTGGGCTATATAGCTCGATGTGTTGTGTGGCATAAGTTTTTCATCTATGTTGCTCAATTTTCCGCCCACTCACTCATGAACATAATGCCAACACTAAAGTCTGATCATCACCGGCATCGTCATTCTTGTCGTTGTTCTTTACCTATGTCTAAAGCTTTATCTATGCCTAAAGATCTACTGAAGTTGTTCTTTTAGGATCTACCTACTGATGTACCATTGATAATCCGTTCATTTGCTCCTTTATGTCATGTTCTAAACATAGTTATAGCTTCTTGGTAAGGGAGGCTCTTGCAATATATCCATGTAATCATCAATGTTCATAACATGTACTTTTATGTAGCCGTTTAGTATGTGGCTGACCATTAGCCAGGTCTTGTTGTTATTGTATGCTTAGCTATATTACTACCAATGGTGTATGTATGCACTTCAAGTCAATTTTTGTAATTATGAATTGATGATGGAGTCACACTTAGGTTGCTTGTACTGTGGAGTATCATACACTAGTATCAAAATCCGTTGGTGCTCGCGGGAGCTTGCGCTCCTGCGTGCGAAAATATTTTGTTAAATGTCAAAAAAAAATCCAGCAAAAAATATATGTGTTCTTTGTCACATCCAAATGCTACATACAAATTTGTAGGCAAAAACATTAAACATTTGGCATGTGCAAAAAAACCACCAAATGTTACCCCAAAATGTCACCCTAAATTTGTCTTTTCACCGGCGAAACACTGTTGCTCCGTTTTGCATGAAATTTTCAAGGATGCTTGTGACACTAACACGAACATCCACAAAAAATTCAGAATTTTTCTAAAACTTTTACTATATTTTTGTTTACTATTCATGCGGGAGAGCATGCTCCTGGGAGACCATAATGCATACAATACTACTTTATGGTACTACCTCCATAATGCATAGTGTCATAAGTTGGCATTTTAAATGACCTTATTTATCATTTTGTATAACGCATAGTAGCACATCATTTATTATGACACAGTATCATGATATTGTCTTCTCTTTCCTCGGTTAATACCATGTCAAGTCATCAATATGCCTAGTTTAAATTGTATGAGGATGTGTGACGCTAGTTTGATACTTCCATTGTGAGCAGCCTTATAATAGGCTCCACCAATGTTCTGCCAATTCAATGCCAATCATAAAATCCTTCATAACTTTTTGTGAGGACTTCTTTTTATTCAATGTCATGCAAAGTACTCGTAAAATGTTCATGTTCTTATCTATATGATATACATCTTCGTATGAGAAAACGAACCCATCGTAGGGTATTCATGAACTGTACTCTAAATGTATCTATACTAGATGATACCTTACACATTGTTGTGCGAATTAGTTGCTAACTTGTTTTAATGAAATTTGGTTGTAGCTAGGGACATGAATATTTGGAGTAATAATACAAGAATTGAAACTCAAGATACATATAATTTATTGTATTTGATTTTTGTATAGTTGTAAAAAATTATTGAATATAAATAGCATAATAGAATGAAAAAAGTTAAGCACTTTTTTCATGCATGGTTGCATGTGGGGTGGACTTCCCAATGCATGATTACACGTTAAGATGACATGGTTACATGTTTAGAGAAATAGGTTACTGGAGATTGCCTATTTAGTTATATATATGATTCGTCTAATAGAATGTTTCAAGCCATAATAAACGTTTGACTTTAATTCCGGTTTCTCGGGCTCCCAAGAGCCAAAATTCCATGTCCCACTTCCACTGGATCCTGCAGATTGATAAATTCGGTTCCTGATTCATTCGCATCTGTTTTCTCAGTGCAGCGCATTGACACGGAAAAGTGCACACACTGTACGGAAGCGACATGTTTCACACTTTTTTGCAAAAATGATTTAGATATATTTTAAAAGTTCATCAAAAGTACAATAACATCATAAAAATTACATTATGGTCTATAGACCACCGAACGACAATAACACGGTCTTTGTATAAATAGACTGCTCATGCCTGATTTAGGTAACTTGCCACCGTTCAGCGTTCCTCCAGTGATTTAATGCAACTTGCCACCGTTCAGTGTCCCTCCAGTATGTGGTCATGTGCATCATCCCGTTAAATTAACAATCACATCACCATGACGAGTGCTTCATTTGATACTCCTTTGCCTTGCGTGGCATGTCTGCCACTGAGCCAGGAGTCAGGGAGCAGTAGGCATCATGCAAACAACATGAGGCGGGTTGGCATTTTCATCAGAGTAACAAAGCCGTGTCTGATGCCTCCTGTAGAAACTTGGTCAAGAAGTTTATTTTGGACATACTTAACTTCAATTAATTTACGGTATTGCTAAAATTCAGATCGCACTGGTATCTGATGCCTCTCGTAGCCATCGGATCTCTGCGCGGAGATTTGTGATGGACTAAGAAACCGTCACAGCGTCTGTTGTTGCCGGTTGCAGCATGACATCTCAACGGTCACAGCATCCATCCTCATCGCTCACAGCATGTTGTCCCACCAGTCAGCATCCGCCATTGCTGCTTGTGCCGTGTAGTCCCACTGGTTGCAGCGTCTATTGTCATTGGTCACAGCACGTCTTGCAACATCTGCCGTCACCGTTTGCATCATTTCATCCAACCAGTTGCAGCACCCTATTGTGCCGCTCATGGCACCACATCTACACTGACATCACTAGACTAAGACTTGATTAAGTCTCAGACAACTGAGTAGCCACACCATTAATTTATTTTAGGGCGAACCTAGAACTGTAAACTAATATGAAACATGAAACGGATGGACTAATTAATACTCCCTCTGTATAGATGTTTTAGGTCACTAATATTACACGGAGAATTGGAATGGAACAGTGGTTGCAAATCATCAAGTCGCTATTCTTACAAAACCTTGTTTACGTGTGCTCTACCTGGGGCATCTTGCTCCAACTACTATTAAAAAGAACATATCCTGTGAAGTTGTTGTATATAATAACACGGCATAATCTTATTTATGTGTGCATTATCCTGAGTCCAAAGTTTTCCAACCAAAAAACTTTTGTGAAGTCAAACCTTTCTGTACAGGATACTACAGGCCTGGCAGCCATCCTTGGCGAAAAGATATACCAAAATGATACATCCTGCCCAGGTTACATGATGAGATTGACATCGTTCGTTTACCAACCCACGCAAATAACTGCACAGACCGGCAGATCACTCGAGTTGCACGGCATCTTTTAGCTTCATAACCTGACATGCCAACAAATAAATACCAGATTAGCAGCTCAGTTCTTCGGTTGGTTCCATTGACCTGCTTTTTTTTTTGTCTCAAAACGCATTAGCTTCAGGGCGCCGCTCGCCCAAATGACACAGAATCTGGAGGTCTTTCACAACTCAAAGCACCTCCTTTTCCAGTTTCAGCACGGCCATGAATGCCTCCTGAGGAACTTCGACCCTTCCGATTGCTTTCATTCTCTTCTTTCCTTCCGCCTGTTAGCAAATGTCAAAGAAACATATTATCTTGTTTACTATAGAGGAAAGCCCTCATAAATTTTAAGAAGTTAACTTCTGCTGAGCACAATCAATAGATTCTCCAATGCTAATTTTGATCGAAGTAAGACAGTCACTAAGAAGAATTACCTGTTTTTTCAACAACTTCTTTTTCCTTGATATATCACCCCCTGCAAGTGAAAGAAAACAGTGGTGTGACTAATCTTTGCAAGCTGTGAGGACAAAGTGTAGCGATCTCTGTTTTTAACAAATAGACCATTGCAGTAAGTAATAGAAAAAAAATCAGATAAGTGTGCACAGGATCAAGAACATGAGACAAGGAACACAGCATTTGATTGGCTTTATGAAAATGTCAGAGTACAAGTTTTAGTATTTCAGTTTACCGTAGCATTTTGACAAGACATCCTTCCTGATGGCTGATAGGGCTTCACTTGCAATGACCTTTGCACCAATACATGCCTGTCAAGGTGCTGATTAGCATCTGATTGCTATAAACAGGAGTACTAATTGAGTGGTTATTACTCTTTGGAAACATATGGCTGCTCCTACTTTCTACCAAGCTACTAAAGTAGCACTTTTCTGATTTAAAGAACTGACCTAGGCCCTCCTAAGACCTAAGTCAAGGCGGAGGTGGACCCAGTTCCTCCTTTATAGTTTGTGATTACAATCAACTCACTAACAAAGAATATGATTGATGTTCTTTCTTGATATAGGTTGCCAAAAGTAGGTGAAACATGTTAGGCACCCCCGACCACAACTTACAGTCTCCCATGATCGTCTGCCCAAGCTTGCTATGTTGATATATTGCAAGAAATATGTGAGAAAAAGACAGATGAAGCTCACTTGAATAGGTATTTTAAACATTTGCCGAGGTATAAGTTCTTTCAGCTTCTGGGTGAGCGCTCTGCCAACAGTGTATGCCTAGAAAAATATTCCAAATATCAGATCACTTGAGAACTTATTGCATAACAACCAGTAAACATAAGTTGTAGCTTCCAAAATCAAGTAGGAAGTGAATACATTGCACAAACAAAGAGTGAACTGTAAACTTGAATATTTAGGTGTTAGGATCTGAGGACATCTGATGCTTAACATCTGTTCAAAGGTTGGTGATAACCCTAGAGTATATGGGTTCATGAACACAAAAAGGGAAGACAAATATGAGACTAATTCTAACCTAACATAATCTTATCTTTAGCAATAAGTAGGAGATGGTAGCACGGGCTATCTTCAATCGGTTTGGATGGCTGTCGCACAATAGGATAGGTCCTTAATGTCCTTTCGTCCAGCCGGTTGTGGCTTTGAGTTGCTTATTTTTTATTTTGCTCCTTTTGTGAGCTGTACTTTGCAGACCAGACTATTTGTTTTGTTGAACTTGCTCTAATAAAGTGGCCGCATGCATCTATCCGATGCAGAGGCCGGGGGATGACCTCCTTTTCAAAAAAAAAAAAGCAATAAGTATGGTTTCATACTGAAATGTGTGAGTATTTTCCAGGTTCTTAATATCCTTTTGCAGTTTGCGATAAATGTATATTCACATGGAGGTGTTTCTAGACAGCATACATTCTCTCTCTGGTTTTAGAGCTATATCTTTCAACAATATGATTGTGCATAGACCAAGAGCTCTAGCTTTCGAAGACTCATGAAGTGAGTAACACAAATGAGTCTGCACAGATAAAAAAAATCCTATATATGATGATCAAATCAAAGGTTATACGTCAAGGAAAAAAACAAAGGTTATATGTTTGAGAAAGAAATCAAAAGTTTATATATTCGAGAGAAAAATTAAAGGTCATATGAGTACAGTTGTACTAGCTAGCAAGCATGTCCTTAATAGGTAAAGCACCTTCTCTTTGTGTACAATTGTCGACAATGCTTCCACAGGCTCACCATTGATTTGTATGTCCAGCTTTACTAGGTCACTTACCCTGTACCTGCAAATTAGGAAAATATACATCAGTTGATTTTGCACAAGGAACTATTGAACACTAAAAAGCAACAACAGATGGCTAAGGTTTAGAACAATATACGAGTAACCACATTGCTGAAATCCGAAGTACAAACAATCTTTTATGTGAGACCTCTGTCTGGTCTTTCATGACCCTCAGTATAACTAGAAGTCTAACCTTCAAACTGGTAATATATACATCCCCTATCAAGACATGTGTACAATAAAATGTAATATTATTCAAGAACATTGTAAAATAAAATACTCCCTTCATTTCTATATACAAGGCCACTTCATATTTATGTCTAACTTTGACCATAAATTTTACCAACAAAATGTGAGTTACATGCCACAAAAAATATGTCATTGGATGCACATTTCAAAGAACTTTCCGATGACATATTTTGTACTCCCTCCGTCCGAAATTACTTGTCGTAAAAATGGATGTATCTAGACGTATTTTTAGTTCTAGATGCATCCGTTTTTATCCATTTCTATGACAAGTAATTCAGGATGGAGGGAGTATGACATATAACCCATATTTTGTTGACCAAAAATATAAGTCAAAGTTTGACATGAAAAACAAAGTGGCCTTGTATACATAAATGGAAGGAGTATAACTTAATTGTTACTGCTAGAGATTATATTCACATAAGCAACTGCTACATCATTGATCATTAAAGTGCCTTGGAGTAGAAAGCTAGTAGGATATGTTGCAGGAGCAATCTTGTATTGCTCTACGGAAATAAGCTAACATATACAATGCATGCACAATTTGTCGGCAAACCCTCATAGGATGGGGTAACACAGAACAGGAATTAGAATTTACATAATACTGGGGAGGAAATATGTACCCGACAACTGAATATTCCATGCTAGCATATCCTTTGCTTCGAGATTTCAGTTGATCAAAGAAATCACCAACCATCTGCATAACAGTTACAAAAATTATATTTATAGAAAGACCACCAAGTAACTGGATTGGTTTCTTAAAATTGGAAAAAGAAGCGAGTGGGCCTTCAGTATAATGCATTATATTCACCAGAGTAGACAAGACTGATTCGTATATTGGCATTGTTGGAACACATCAAGTCAAGACATATACTTATGAAGAACCTCTCACAAAGTCGAGCACATTACAGAAACCGCAGCAGATACAAAATTATTTGACGCGAGGAGGTGCATAAAATGAAGAATAAGGTTGGCAGGTTGCATTTGAATGAAGGTAGTAGTGATTACCGACTGTGATGCTTAATACTCCCTCCGATCCAAAATAAATGTCGTGGTTTTAGTTCGAATTTGAACTAAAACCACGACGCTTATTTTGGATCAGAGGGAGTATATGATAATTAAGAAGTAGCAGAATTCTAATTGACCTACACGATATTGATAAAACAATTACATCATCTCGACTGAAACTTATCTTTGGATAATATGATGTATGTTTTGCAGATGCATTGAGGTATGCATCTCATAACTTCTCATAGTTTTTCCTTTTATTTGCTTCATGAAAATGATTAAATTTGATAAGTTACAGCAGGCAGAACATGTTTGTACTCAAAATAGTTGTTGCATACCTCTGCTAGTGGTAGCATGTAAGTAAGTTTGGCCCTGTTTTCTGTAATGTAGTTCATTTCCTTGAATTCACCTCTTCTCTCTTGACCCAGCTCCATTATTGGGCCAATATAGTCCTTTGGTGTTAACAATTCAATCTGAAACAGGGAAGAGCAGATACCAAATAGGAGAATAAAAAACGTGTAGAATACAGTGCCTCCAAAGTTCAGGAAAAAAAGGACATGACTGCAAATGGATGGTGGAAGACTTATAGAACAACAACCTTTACATACGGTTCTTCAATCGACCTCCGTTTACCAGGTTCTGGAAGCAAGGATGGATTTGAACATTCAACCTACATGACATCTATAAGTAAGCATATGTGTACATTAACAGTGCAATGCTGATAAATAAAGCTGGCATGTTTACAAGTCAAACTGGATCAGTAACCATTTTGTTTACTTTACTAAAAGGATGTCAGATTTAGCAACCGTGGCTAGGTCTTTATGCAACCTGCAATGGCTTAGCTCATATGCTTAACAGCAGCATTGAGGAACTCTTCAGCAGTAAGCAAGAAAAGGGTAGAAACATCTAAAATGGCTGGAATGGTTTCCATCTCATGTCCACCAAGTACAGTGGGAGTTAACTTGCATATATAAATAAAGCACTAGATGGATCCCAAGAAAAGACAATGAAGTTCAGCGTCATAGAACTTACAGTTTCATTATTGGAACAGTTGACACGGTAAACCACACTGGGTGCAGTAATTATTAGGTTCAAGTTGTACTCTCTCTCAAGCCTTTCCTGAAAATACGGAACATTACATTGTACAAAATTCAAGTCAGCATGGTTGTGATGTGAGATGCATTGTTAAGAGCTAAGTAGATTGTACAAAACCTGAACGATTTCCATATGAAGAAGACCAAGGAACCCACATCTAAATCCGAACCCCATGGCACTAGAAGATTCCGGCTCGAACTGCGCAAATAACCAAGATAAATGTCACAAAGCTAAGAAATGTAATACAAAATGCTAATGGGTGATCAACACTCAACATTGCAGATTACAGAGCCCTAGAGAATAATTGCACTGCAACTTTTTATGTGTTTTCTGCAATCTCTTCTAAATGTTGTACAAATGAGATTGGAGACTAACACTATTTTCTTACTATGTAGAAATGGAACACTGATCAACTATTCATAAATGAAGACACTGCCTTTACTACTTTTTTTTGTTCATGTTTTAATGCAAGAACACTAAATCATTTTCTTTAACATCAGGGGACAGTATATAAACTAAATATTCGTTGTTAATTTAGCTGTCATAAATTGCTTTAGAACTTCTATGCTTTCTGCAGGGCAAAATAATAACAAAATTTTGGTTATATCAATGCAAATCCATATAAAACGATCATGGTCTACTTGCATGTTTCATCTAGTATGAACTATATTAGATCAGTTTTCTTGAAGGTTCATACAGATGAACTACGATACCAGGATATGGGTTGAGAAAAGAAGTCTGAACCTTCAAACTAAAAACAAAAATAACCAAATTAGTTCAACAATACACTCATGCTAATCTGACGATCTTGCATGGATGGCTCATAGGCATGATAAGAATCCCACCTTTAGGGCAGCATCATTTAGCTGAAGTCTCCCCAATGCTTCCCGCAACTCCTCAAACCTATTGCCAACTTGAATGTTTAATACAAGATAAATTATGCTTCTGCACTGAAGAAAAAAAATCATTTCAAGGAGAAAGGACAGTACTGATCTGCCTCTAAAGGAAACAAGCCGCAGAAAACCATTGGAGTAGCTTCTGAATATCCTGGTAAAGCAGATTCCGCTCTTTTTGCAAAATGGGTAATTGTATCACCCACCCTAGCATCTGCTACTGATCTTATGGAAGCAGAGAGATAGCCGACCTGAAGGAGTGGTCAAGACATAAAGCAATTTGGTTTGACAGAATTATTGCAGTACTCATTATGAATAGAATTTGGGCCTCTTTGGAATACAGGATTACAAAAACACAGGAATAGGAGCAGTGTAGGATTTAGGTATCCTTGGTTTGCTGAATTCTGTATGAAACAAAAACACGTGATTTTGCAAAACTAGCTTGTTGGATGCTCCATAGGAATTTTACAGGAATTTGAAGAGAGAGAAAGAAGGTACATGCAAGACACGAAGGAAAACTTTTAAAGGTCTAACCTCTTGCTAGAATTTCTAATTTACTATGAAGTTGGGATTTATGAAAGCAATCCGCAGGAACTTTGATGATCTCATTCCTTTGATCCAGAGTCCCTCCATAAGAAAATTCCTACGTTTTGACATCCTACAGGATTTCTTTAAAGGCCTCACTGGAACACAGCTTTCTAAGAACGTACAAACATAAGAAATGTAGAATTGAGATTGCATACCATCTAGAAGGGAACCAAAACAAGGGAATATGGATACTTCACATGAGACGCAAAGGAAATAGTTGGTGAAATCTGACCTCCTGCTAGGAATCCTATGAACTTACGGTGTAGAAAAGCAGTTAGTAGTAAATTGGCTGCTCTAATTCCTATTATCCAAAGGTCCTGGATGGGAAACATTCAGATGGACCGAAATCTTACAAAATTCCTATGAAAAATCCTTCAACCCAAAGGGGACCTTAATGTGTAAGATTTGATATTGCCACGCACGGCTTAATTCACGTCATCTTGAGCACACCCGAGTCCAAATGGAACAGCAACCTTCCCGAGGTATAGTCAAGACACGTGCAGAACTGTTCAGAGACTCTTGGACTGTAGGATTTTCGAAGGATGAAAGATTATAATATGTAAGGATTTTTTCCCCATAAGAGCCCTCTGGATAATAGCATTGGGGTTGACAAATTCCTATAAAGTTCCTTCAACCCAAAGGTGTATAGATGGCATATTTGGTGAACTAGACCAATAAGCTGACGTGGATTAATACATGATAGAAGTCCCCATTTTTCGGTAACTAAAGTTGATACCACGAGACAGTCAAACAGTGAACTAGCAAAGTTACCTCACCAGCATGCAGTTCATCAGCTTCCATCTGATTGGGGGATAGTACACCAATTTCATCAGCAACATATTCCTGTTTATTTTGACAATATACTCAGCATAACATTCTATACCCTGCACAGCTAAGGTTCCAGGGGAAAATAACTGTAAAATGGTATTATAATTGAAAAATACTTCACAGAAGTGGTAAAAGACTAATGGCATCATTTTGTTATCGTATACTAGAACAGAAACTTTGGATGGTAATTTACAGAAGTGGTATTGTGCACTCCAATGTAATTGTGTTTTCTGGAAAATTATTGTCCCTTGAGATGAACAAGGCAGTTTACTGGAAAAGTTTCAGTTTTGCTTTAATTACCTTTTTATTGGCCATAAAACATATCTTGTCCCCTTTCCTTATACTGCCATCAATAACTCGAAAATACACAATGACACCTCTGTATGCATCATAATAGCTGAAATTGTGAAGATAAACATTAAACCAAAGTTCAGCTATATGCAGAAAATTATATAGATCAATTATTGTTGTCTTCCTGTGGAACTTTGGCACTTGAAAAATTCACGGAGAAAATTTTAAGTTGAACGATTTCTTAAAGGGCACCTGTCAAATATAAGAGCCCTGAGAGGATTTTTTAAAGTATCCTTTGGTGGGGGGACCTTGGTCACAATGGCATCTAGTATTTCGATGATGCCTATGCCCTCCTATAGACACACAATAACGACAACAACAACAATGTTAAATCATTATATCTGTTCGCAAAAGGGGAATAATAGATTCTATATAAAATTGTACATCAACTGTGTAGTAACTCTACAGAAAATGGTAAGGTAACGAAAGCTAACCTTTGCTGAACACCTAATTGCATTACTGCAGTCCAAGCCAATTATCTGAGGATACAGAAGGCAAGAAGGATGAATTAGACTATTACGAACCGATGGGGCATAATTTCGGTGGGAATGAACAAAATTGTTTTCGGCAATAGTCAGGATAAAGTTAGAACAAACATCAAAGAATACCTCTTCAATCTCTTGGGCGATGCGGTCAGGTTCAGCACCAGGAAGATCAATTTTGTTTAGAACCTAAACTAGAATAGAAAGTCATCTGTCAAATACACAAAAATGAGAAGCCATAACAGGACATCACACCAAAATGTCCATCTCATGAGGGAAATCACATAAAGACTTGGGAGATTTTTCCATCCTTCGTATTCATCTACACGGAGCAAAATGCAACAAGTGCTTAGCCATTTTAAAGCTACTTTTCATTATTGTCCGACTGAAAGGGGGAAACATCTTGCTCAAACAGTAGATTATTGGCTGAAATATACTCATCTTTACTCAAATTTGCGCCCAATTCTAATAAGCCATACATAAAACACTCAAAATAACTCTAGCGTCTCAAATGCTCCGGCAAATGAAATATGTACGAATTTGTTAGCAGCCAAAGGTAAATATTGTAAAACTATAAGATGTAAAACTCATTATTGTGTGAAAAAATTGACAGCTCAAACTAACCGGTATGATTTCGAGGTTGCTTTCCAGTGCAAGATACACATTTGCTAAGGTCTGCGCTTCAACACCCTGCATTGTCACATCAGATATCTTTAACTGTCTTGGAAAAGATGTACTGGAAGCTAGTGATGCCATTTAGCCAGCCTCTGAAGGCAAAGGTAAATGTCTTCAAGTACATAACTATTGAACTTACAGGAAGGAAATATATATTGCACCTGAGAAGCATCAACAACCAGCAGTGCACCCTCACAAGCAGCAAGAGATCGGGAGACCTAGCAAACAGTCGGACACTTCCTCAGATGTTTCAACCAACTCCAAATCTTAAAAGCATGCTAGGTTGAAAGTATCAGAGTGCCATCTCAGACAACTCTAAACGGTCATACAAATTGCAGTGGAGTAGAACATTCATGTATAGCCTGTATTTATTGGAAAAATTATCTTCACTGCCTGGAAACAGCATAATGTGCTATACCTCATATGAGAAATCGACATGACCTGGTGTATCGATTAAGTTCAGGCAGTAAGGCTCATTGTTCATGACGTAACGCATCCGAGCTGCCTAAAACAACAAATGATTAGAGCGACAGTACATAAGAAGGAACATGCACATCAAAACCATCAAGTAAATGACAGCGTAAGCTAATAAAACCACAATAACATTCATATTTGGCAAGCAGCTAACAGCAAGTATCTGGTCTTATTCCCTCTCTCTAGCCTCCACATTTACACCGGGTTAATATGTTTGGCTAAAGTACTTACGAGAACATATAGCATGAGTCCAGAGAGTTTAACCAACTACACCATCATTTCACGTACCTGCAGTTTGATTGTGATCCCCCTCTCCCTCTCCAGGTCCATGTTATCCAGGAACTGCTGTTTCATATCCCTCTTCTGCACCGTCCCTGTCATCTCGAGGAGCTTATCCGCCAGAGTCGATTTCCCATGGTCGATGTGCGCGATGATGCAGAAGTTCCTGATGTTGGTAATGGGGACCTACCAGACATCGAAAATTGCTACTTTCAGTTAAAATTCAGGGCGCGCGCAAACTCCAAACAAGTACAATGTCGCGACTACTGATGAACACAAAGCTCAGGGCGTTGCGCTGCCCGAGGGAGGTGGCGAATACCTTCTGGAGGCGGTCCTGGCCGGCGTCGGTGGAGGAGGCGGGGGCGGAGGCGGCGAGGCAGAGGACGCGGCCGCGGGGGGCGGCGGAGAGAGCGCGCGGGCGGGAGGCGGCCCAGAAGGGTGCGGCAGGGCGGCGGCGACCTGAAGCGAGCGGCGACGGCGACGGCGCAAGGACGGCGAGGGGGCAGACGGCGGAGGTGGTGGCCATGGAAGGAGGAGCTCCGAGGTGGGCAAGCGTCGGTGCTTCTGGGCCGCAAGGCTTTCCTTGCCTTGCCGCCGTCTGTCTATCCACAGACGCTGTGGATGTTTGGTTGCTAGCTAGTAACCGTTGCATTATTTTCATCCTCAACAAATTGCTATTATCTATTAAATCAAACTTTTTTTGAGGTTTATCAAACATTTTGTTTGGACAAATTCTTTCATCAACAGATAAGAAAAATACTCCTACAGCAAAGACTTGACAATTTTAACAGGTTCCTGACTTGTTTTGAAAATATAGTTTTTAGGATTGAACTAGCTAATAAAACCAGGATATTAGATAGCAATATATCTTAAGCTTCGTTTGGATGTAGACATTGATGGGCATGGCACTGCATTGACTCCAATGCCAAATACTCCCTCTGTAAACTAATATAAGAGCGTTTAGATCACTACTTTAGTGATCTAAACGCTCTTATATTAGTTTACAGAGGGAGTATTTAGGATATTAATACCGAGGTTCAGTTCAAATTCTAGCGCTTGGATGTTTGTGCGAAAATCCTAAATCTATGAAAGGCTACGTGCCTGTTACGTAAACTTCCATCGCTAACTAACTGACCCCCACCCCCCTCCCCTTGATTTTTAGGCGGGGTGGGCCTCCCCCTCCCCCTAATCCAATCCGACGTTCCCACGTCAGATTAGCACGTAACATTATGTAAATCATTACGTGGATGTAGCATTGCTCGATGTTTGTGTATCCGGGATGTGGAATCCTGGGGAGACACCAATACTAATTCATGTTTAGATGGTGAAAATGTTGAATTGCAATGGATGTGCCTCTGCTGCCCGTCGGCGTGCTCCCGAGCATCCAGTTTATCCTACCATGGCGGTTCCATGGTTCTACATGAATTGCACCGAGGGTGACCGACGATGGAGGGAACGCACCAGGGAGTTACGGGGTGGGCCTAATAGCACCAGAGCGAGAGACAGTGCACGGGGGAGGGATGGGGGAGAGGCTGGGTCCCGGGGATGGTGAGAGGAGTGTCGTTGTTGAGTTTCAACAGGGTCATCCTGCCGTAGGAACTAGTGGTGTCGGCATGGTTTTGGTGGAGAATCTATTGTCCTAGTAGGCGACCTGGACAACGCATCGACCTGGATTTGGCTGAGAAGACGTTGGAGGAGGAGGCGGTGGAAGGGGCAAGATGACCTCGATCTCCTGGCGTGGTGGCTACTATGTGTTGGCGTAGGAGATGCAACACGCCGGTGAAGGTGGTGCAACCACGGGAGGTAATAGAAAGGGCGGGTTGATCTCAATCTCCTAGCATGGTAGTGCATGTGTAGGAGATGCAACACATGCGTGAAGGTGGTACAACCATGGGAGGCAGTGGCGGTGATCGTGTGTTAACGACGAGACATCTAGTGGGCAGCAACATCAACTTGCAATGGTGGATGCATTGCTAAAGCATGAGGAGGGAGATGACAACATGGTCGGAGCCCCTATATTTGCGAAGGGTCACGCCGGTGTCTAGGTTGGCGTCTCAGTATTGAGCCCAAATTCCCCATGTGAATGCCTATGCCATCCAAACAATAACATTCGGGTGAGGCAATGCCTATTCCGAATTCTAGCCCAAAATACCTACATCCACACGAACCTTAGTTTTTCCTGAACCATTCCCTCCTCATAAAACACTAAAAATAAGAATTGGTGCACCGAACCGCCACCCGGCCTTGTCAGCTAGAAGGTTCTGCCCCCACCTCCTTCCACTAGCTTCGCTAGTGTGGAAACACGAGAAGACCCCGATCTACCTGATGGGCCTATAGTTTTTTTTTCTTGTTGTGGGCTTTTAATAAGGTTACGATGTTTCGCTTCATTGGAGACATTGAGGCCTCGATGGCTCATTGGTGTAGATTCTTGTTGAAAGGATTGAAATGGCCCTAGAGGGGGTGAATATGTACAGTTACATATTTCGCTTAATTATTAACAAGTTTAGGCAATGCGGAATATGAAAGATGAGTGTACACAATTGTTATGATGAGATAACAAGCACAATATAATGAGTACAACAATCTAATCGTGTAAACGAGGATGTATCCTGTTCACTTCCTTGGAGTAGGAGGTTGTCCCAGCTGGGCTAACTGGCGGCGGACTGCTACCTCATGTGCATGGGTGCATGTTAAATATGCAGCGCCCAACTGTGATGGGCCGCAAAGGCACAATGTTTTTTTGTGCTTTCCAAAAAATAATCTTTACAAAAAAGTTAGAGAAACAAGGTTTGAGATTGTTTGAAGATGCAACTATAATTTGATTGGGCTGAAATTTGAAATGTAGCTTCTCTATTCTATAATATAATGAAGCCAAAGAAAAATAATCAGGGGGGTCTGAAGTGGGAATAATATTTTTTTTCGTAATAAAAGCCAGGAAAGGGTAATGATGGGATTTGAACTAGGGGCAGGTGTTAGGTTTGTGCTAAAATTGTGAAGTTGCTCCAAATATCACACAAAGGCCATGTGCAAAGTGTGGAGGTGAACCTTGATGTAAAAGAATGCTTTAGATATTCACTATTTTACCAAATGACAAAAATATGGCTTAGGGTTTAATAAAATAATCGGTTTAATCTTTGATGTTGCGCAATATGCTACTTATGAAATTAACATGATGCACAATCAATATCTAAGAAAAATGTTGGTCCTAAATGAACATTTTTTGCTATGAATTACTTTGGTCACTTCTTACAAACCAAATACATCTCAATGGAATTTCCCCCTGAATCCTCATTCTTCAAGTTTATTTCATGGAATTCTTCTAAAGCAAATGAACACTATGTCAATTAGTGTATCCCGATGTTCCATTATTGGAGTAGGAGGCTTCCTGTGACGCCCCCGATTCAATCGTACACTAATCATGCACGCAAATGTGCACGATCAAGATCAGGTACTCACGGGAAGATATCACAACACAACTCCAAACACAAATAAAAGAATACAAGCTTTATATTACAAGCCAGGGGCCTCGAGGGCTCGAATACATAGCTCGATACACAAGAGTCAGCGGAAGCAACAATATCTTAGTACAGACATAAGTTAAAAAAGTATGCCTTAAGAAGACTAGCACAAAAGCAACACGATCGAAGAGGCAAGGCCTCCATCCTGGGACCTCCTAAACTACTCCTGGTCGTCGGCGGTCTCCACGTAGTAGCATCCATCGGCGGTGGCATCTGACTCCAAGGATCCACCATCTGGTTGCATCAACCGAAAAGAAGAAAGAAGGGGGGAAAGGGGTAGCAAAGCAACCGTGAGTACTCATCCAAAGTACTCGCAAGCATTAGATCGATACTAAGAACGCATTGGTATCAAATGGAAGGTTTGTATCTGTGGACTGAATTGCAGAAAGTCGGAATAGAGGGGTAAGGCCTAGCCTATCAAAGACTAGCATCTTCAAGCAGCTTCAAGCATCTTGTAGCATGTAGAAGAGTAAAGAATAGCATTTTAATATTAAATAAGCATGTTGTAACATTAACGCCCAGAGATTCTTCCTCGACTCCCTGCGAGAAAGCAATCTCGGAGCCACATATCCATCACATATCTCAAGTATCCATTTCTAGTTATATAAGATCAGGATACAAGTCTGAATGTTTGTTACCGTGGACACGGCTATTAATAGATAATCTTCCCTGCAGGGGTGCACCATGTTTTCCAACACACTTGATTACTCTGGCCGGACACACTTTTCTGGGTCAATGCCTGGCCTAGGAAGATCAACACGTCGCAGCTGAGGGAGTCCTGGATTAAGGGGTCCTCGGACAGCCGGATTGTATGCGTATGCCGGACTATTGGGCTATGAAGATACAAGATAGAAGACTTCGTCCCGTGTCCGGATGGGACTCTCCTTCGTGTGGAAGGCAAGCTTGGCGATTCAGATATGAAGATTCCTTTCTCTGTAACCGACTCTGTGTAACCCTAGCCCCCTCCGATGTCTATATAAACCAGAGGGTTTAGTCCATAGGACAAGAACAATCATAATCATGGACGGGCTTCTAGGGTTTAGCCTCTCATGGTAGATCAACTCTTCTAATACTCATATCATCAAGATCAATCAAGCAGGAAGTAGGGTATTACCTCCATTGAGAGGGCCGAACCTAGGTAAACATTGTGTCCCCCGCCTCTTGTTACCATTAGCCTTAGACGCACAGTTCAGGACCCCCTACCCGAGATCTATCGGTTTTGACACCGACATTGGTGCTTTCATTGAGAGTTCCACTGCGTCGTCATCATAAGGCTTGATGGCTCCTTCAAGCATCTACAACAACGCAGTCCAGGGTGAGATTTTTCTCCCCAAATAGATTTTTGTATTCGGCGGCTTCACACTGTGGGCCAACTCGCTTGGCCATCTGGAGCAGATCGACAGCTACGCCCCTGGCCATCAGGTCAGGTTTGGAAGCTTGAACTACACTGCCGACATCCACGGAGACTTGATCTTCGACGACTTCGAGCTCATGACAACCGCACCCTGCCGCCATGATGAACATGACCTAAATCTGTCATCGGACTATGCTCAGGAGATAGCACCTGTAACCGCTCTGGCCCTAGATCCGGAGCAGAGCACGCCATCCAAGGACGGGAAGCTCAACCTCGCCACGGATGCCGCAAACTCAGCGGCGCTAGAGCCAAACACGGATCTGACCTCCAACGAGGCATGTGTCATCGGAACGTCGGACTCGTCTCCGGCCATAGGCTCGGAACCGCGTGCATCCACACCCATCGAATCTGACTGGGCGCCGATCTTAGAGTTCAGCTCCGCGGACATCTTCCAACACTCACCCCTAGGTGATGTGTTAGACTCATTAAAGTCTCTCTCCTTGTTAGGAGATTCTTGGCCGAACTATGTCTGGCTTGAGTGGGAAGCGGACGACGAAGAACTTCGTTACCCACCCACCACCCACTTGATAGCCACTGTCGACGATTTAACCGGCATGCTTGATTTTGACTCCAAAGACATCGATGGTATGGACGGCGATGCCGGAGAAGAACAGGAACCACCGCCCACAGGGCGCTGGACAGCCACCTCCTCTTACGATATATACATGGTGGACACACCCAAAGAAAACAATGGCAAGGACAAAAAGGATCCAGTTGAGGATAAGCCTC